GGGGTGTGTGTGCAGTGGAGCCCGCGCTGCCCTGGTTGGAGCAGCTGAAACCTCAGACCCCACCAGGGACCATCCACAGGGTCACCTTCACCATGCGGATGGAAAGGCCTCTACTCTGGGCGAGTTGCCCGCAGACCATGGAAATACAATGTGCTCCTGGAAGGCAGTGCTCACTAATCCTTCCCTTTCTCCCTCGCTGCCAAGCCAAGGCTGGGAATTTCCCCTAATTGCTCTGGGGCCACGCGCGGTTGACCTTCTTAACTTACCAGGCACTCATTTTTTTTCATTCTACAAACATTCACCCAGCACCCACGAGTGTCTCAGCTGTGGGGACCACAGTGAACAAGCCGCTGAGACCTCTTCTCGGGGAGTTGACCCTGCAGCGGAGGAGACAGGTGGCCAACGAGGAGAGGAACACAGAGCGTTGTGAATTGTCGTGAGTGGCATCCAGGAAGGAAGCAGGGGCCTTTGGAACAGCTGGAGGAGGCAAGGGTGTGCTCCCTTCCCAAGGAGGTGGCCTTTGAGCTGAGGGACAGAAGTGGTCAAGAACTAACCAAACGAAAGAGACAGGTGGAACAGTGTTGGGGCAGAGGGAACAGCATGTGCCAAGGTCCTGAGGCTGGAAGTGCTTGAGAAATGGGAAGGAAGCCACTGAGGGTTGGTGAGAGCGAAGATAAGAGAGGCAGGAGTGCGATCTGACTGGGTGTGGCTTGGGGGCCGTGACAAAGCTTGGGTTTTATGCAAAGTGAAATGGACAGGCATTGCTGGGCTTCTAGAAATTCCTATCATGAGCTGTTGCCGCCCATCAAGAGAGACGTGACGTTTAAGGAACAGTGATTATAGTAAACGCCCAGGTGTTTTTCACCCTTCCCCCTCCCAGCCCCATTTCTCAAGCCTCAAGGGTCGTAGCTACTAATTTGATGTTTGTGTTTAGGATCTTTGCATTTCTTCATAATAGTACCAAACAGAACAACGGATCGGGTGATTTGCCTGGTTTCAAGCTACATGGCTCCAGCCTTGCCTAATGGCTGAGTGGGTTATGAGTTAGGCAGCTAAACGCAAGGTCTGCGGCTCAACTCCGGCAGCTGCTCCAAAGGAGAAAGATGAGGCTTTCTGCTCCCAAAAAGATGTACAGTCTTGGAAACCGTAGTGAATAGGAACCATTCCACCCGGGCCTGTAGGGTTGCTATGAGTCAGAACAGACTTGATGGCAGTGGGTCTTGTTGTTGTTTTATGCATGACACTGTCTGTAATTGTTATGAGGTTGAAGGTTTGTTGTCTCGGCTTCTTTCTTCTCCTGAGACTTCACACCATCCTGTTTTCTCACATTGAACCAGCCTTGCATTCTTGGGACAAACCCAACTTGATTGTGAGCTTGCGTTGTCTTTCCTGTTGAAAACATTGCTGGATTCCATTGGCTGCTGGGATTTGGGTATGAGTGGGTCACACTGGCTGCTGTTTTTTCCTTTCTTAACTTTTCTGGCCTTGGCAGTGGGGTGGTTACAGAGTTCCCAGGAAAATGGCCAGGGCAGGGTTTCTCTTTATTATTCTTGCAAGCACTTGTGTAAGGTGGAATTCACTTTCTCTAGAGTTTGTGATAAAACCATTGGCATGTGGTAATGTGGTAAGCTGCCACGTTGCTATCCTTCTGGGAATCAAAGTGTTTGTGCACAATCTTGGCTCCTTTGGATGCTGCTGCTCTCTCCTCTGCCCCCATCCTCTAAAATCAAAACCCAAGACACACCTCTGCCCCAAACGCCTAACACTGGCATCCTGGCTCTGCTTTCTTCCGGGAGGCTCCTTAACGCAAGAGTCCGGCCTCAGGAGTTGTTGCAGGGCCTTCCCTGAGTCTCCCCAGGCAGCAGGTAAGCATGTCTCTGAGCTATTATCTCCTGCACTTAAGCACCCAGATTCAAGGTCCTCCATTTGCCCCTGAGGGTGGCCTTCAACATGAGCAGTGATGGGTCAACTGCAGGCTTTAACTATGGGTCTGGCCAACCTGGGACCTGAGGTGCCCCTCCGAAGCTGTTCCTTTTTAGGAATATGCCAGAAGCCATGTGGTCCAAATCCTCTGAGCACAAAATTAGCTTCTTTCCATACTTCGAGAGGGAAAGAACACCCTACTAAATATAACACCAACGCCGTCCAGCGTCAACAAACGAGACACCGGACAAACAGCCGGGCAGCTGCTCCTCAGGAGCTGTGCTCCTGAGACCCCAGCAAGTCGTCCGGCCCCATCTGCAGAACAAGTTTAAGCTACTGCTGGACACAGAACCTGACCATCAGCCCCAAACGGAGACAACTTTTTCTCTCTTTCGTGCTGTGCATATTTCTAGGCTTTTCTATTCTTTTTTTCCCAGTGGGCAAAACACATACAACACACACACACACTTAATCCTACTGCATGAAGAAGATCATGATAAATACCATGGGGTATAGAATATTGAGTGCTTTGAAGTTGAATATGGCACATTAAATCCATTTCTCAGCCTGTTTTCCCATTGTCACTCCCACAAGGAGACATTTTTGGAAACTCTCTTTAAGCGCTTCCTCAGCCCGTGCAATTGTACGGCCTCAGCGATAGGGTGGCCGTCACGTACAGTGGCTCTTTGGGAACACACAGGCCACTGGGACAGTTGAGATTTTTGCACATGCACACCCACCGGGAACCAGTTTGGTGCCCACTGCGGGGGCAGTCCACAATCCCTGGGTGGCACCCACAGCCACCCTCATCGGCTAGTTTGGGAGTTGGTGGTCCCAGAGAGCCTGGTGACTTGTTTCTGTGAAGACTGCACCCTGGGAAGTCCCCTGGAGCCGGTCTGCTCCGTGACACCTGAGGGCTCGGTGACCAAGCGGACCCTCTGTCCTACCCCAGGCGGGGAGGCAAGGCTTGTCTGGAGCGTTAGCATGGGGAGGGCATTTGGGAGGGTAAAGTTCCCCAGCTAATGCCCCCACTGTCCACACTCCCAGTCCACGGCCTGCCTGTGGGCCACTCAGCAGGTTCTCCCCCAATGGGTTTCTCTTCTCTCCTGCTTCCAGGGGCTCACCACTGACCCCTCAAAGGCTGGCCCAGCCTCAGCTCCACAGGGCAGAGCTGATGCATTCCTGGGGCTGCCAACCCCTCTTCCTTTTTGCTAGCCGTGAACCCTGCTCTCAGACAGTTCCCAGCTGGTGGCAACTGCCTGTTCAGTGCCCAGCTCACACGCATGTGTACACATACACACACAAGCATGCATGGTGCTTTTAGCTCTGGGTACACATGTGTACTCATGCACATGCACAGAGCTGTGCATATACCACATTCAGATACCGCCCCCCCCACACACACACACAAGGTGCACTCTATCCAGAGTGTGAACCTACTGTGCCAAGGATTTCTCCCCCACAACAGGAGCCCCAGCAGTAGAGTGGCTTTGAGTTGAGCTGCTAATTTCAAGGTCGGCAGATCCAAACCACCATCTACTCCCGTAAAGCGTTACAGCCTCAGAAACCCATAGGGGCAGTTCTACCCATCAGCATCGTCTCCGTGTCAGTGGGTTTGGGTTTTTAGCTTCTCTCACAAAGGCTTTCCGTGCCCCTGGACAGGGTTAGGACCCCGCATCCTAACCCCCCAGGTCCCCGGCAGTCTTCCCACATTGCTATTCCTGGTTGGTGGTCTCCCAGCTCGCTGGAAGCCCTGCCCATCCTCCTCTTGCTCATTAGTTTGCCCCGTGCCTGGCGCCCTGTCAGCACGTGTTGAATGCAAAAGGGAGGGAACAGGTTTCAAGCTGTTCAATGGATGTTGCCCCAAATATTTTCACAGTCTCTTTTAACAAAGTGGCTGGATTAAGCCAATTGTTTGAGAAAAGACTTCCACGGCGTCGGGTTTCCGGCGGCCTGGTTAGCCGCCCTCAGGAAAGAACGCAGGGTTGACAGCAAGACCATGGCCATCGAAGCATCTGTAAAGTTGGGCTGTGTCCACAGGCGCCTGCCTCCGGTGGGGCAGAGCTCGCCACCACCCCTGAACCCTGGGAGTGTTCTAGCTCGAACCCAGAAGACAGCAGTTCTCAAACTTCCTCATGCCGCCACCCTTTCAGGCAGTTCCTCATGTTGTGGTCACCACCCAACCATAAAACTATTGTTTTCATTGCTACTCCCTAATTGTCATTTTGCTACTGTGATGAATCGGGCTGCCCCTGTGAAAGGATCGTTCAACCCCCAAAGGGGTCGTGACCCACAGGTTGAGAACCGCTGGTTTAAGATGAAGACTTGTTGCTCTGGCCCCTGTTTCCAGCCCGCAGCTGGCCGGGCCCCAGGGCTGCTGGCTGCGCCCTCCCCAGGAAGGGGCTTCCTCCTCCAGCCAGACAGAGTTCAGAGGAGGGGTGTGCAAGCTCCCGCCCGCACTCCGGGGGAGGGCGGGGGCCAAGAGAAGTTTGTCTTGCTCGGTGGCTCCTGGTCACTTCATTCAAACATGGATGTTGATGAGGCACACGGTGTGTTGAGTCCTGGCTGTGTGCCAGGCACACAGATGGGGAAGGAGTGGTCTCGGGGAGAAGACACTGCCACCATGGTGGGTGGGTGGGTGGGGTTTCAGGGAGCATATGGGAGTTGGCGTGAGTGCCGAGGGAGTACCGAGAGGTCGTGGGAGAGGCAGGGACCAGGCTCACTAACTGATGCCTGTCGCTCAGGTGGGCCCACGAGGACCCTTGACTGTAGCTTACCTTGCGCTCACTCTCTGCTGTGGCTCCAGTCCACTGCATTAAATTCCACACACTGTTTGTGTGGCCTGACCTTTCTGACCCCCTGCAGGACAAGATCTGCCTGTGCCTTTTCGGATGGGAGTAGGCGGGGGACCAGCCTCCCTTTGGAAGAACCAGAGTGCGCAAGCCATCTGGAATGCATCAGAAGGGGGCCCGGCCAGCCCCCGGTAGCGAGACTTGGGCTCAGTGCCTTCCCTCCTTCCAGAGGACGGCGTTGGAAGGGAGCTGACCTACCCTCTCCTCTTTCTGTTCTCCTTCCAGACGTCTCCGCTGCAGCTGTCCACCCAGGATGCCTCCTGAGCGCCTGGGACCAGCCCTGGAGAGTCCGGTGATGGATGAGCTCTTCGTGCAGCGGTAGAAGCGAATCCAGTCTCCGTGGTTGCTGTCGTTTCTGGGTTTGGGGTTGGTTTTTTTTCTTGGTTGAGGGGGAGGGGGCGGTTTTGAATTTTGTTTTTCTTTCTTGTCACTGGGCCTGTCCCTGCCGCCACCAGCACCATGGCCCAGTCCAAGGCGAATGGCTCGCACTACGCGCTGACGGCCATCGGCCTGGGCATGCTGGTCCTGGGCGTCATCATGGCCATGTGGAACCTGGTGCCCGGGTTCAGCGCCACGGAGAAGCCAGCGGCGCCGGCCAACAAGACGGAGGTCGGCAGCGGCATCCTGAAGAGCAAGACCTTCTCCGTGGCCTACGTGCTGGTCGGGGCCGGGCTGATGCTGCTCCTGCTCTCCCTCTGCCTGAGCATCCGGGACAGGCACCGGCAGCGGCAGGGCGAGCAGCGAGCGCGCAGCCAGCTCCCGCCCGGTGCCGGGCCACCCGTCCCCGAGGAAGACAGGTGAGGGCGAGCCGCCGCTGCCGGGACTGGGAGGACACACCCACACACACACTCTCTCTCTCTCTCTCTCTCTCATTCTCTCTTTCTCACACACACTCATATACTCATACATACATACACTCACACACACACTCATTCTCTCTTGCTCACACACACACTCATACATACATACACTCACACATGCACTCATTCTCTCTTGCTCACACACACTCATACATACATGCACTCACACACGCACTCATTCTCTCTTGCTCACACACACTCATACACTCATACATACATACACTCACACACACACTCTTTCTCATTCTCTCTTGCTCACACACTCATACATACATACAACTCACACATGCATACACACACACACACACACCACTCTTATTCTCTCTTGCTCACACACATACATACATATACTCACACATACCTACATACACTCACACACACTTTCATTCTCACACACTCATACATGCACTCACACACACATATACTCACACACACACTCATGCATACTCACACACACCATCATTCTCTCTCACACTCACTCACACACTCTTGAAGCACTTCAGCAACAGTATATCATCCTTCAGTCTCCCCGCCCACCACCACATTTTCTTCCATTAAAGCCCAACTGCTGGTGCGTTCAAACCGCTCCCCTTGTGGTTAGCAGCCAGGCACTCAGCCACTGTTCCCCGGGGCTTCTATCCTCAGGAAAACAGATCCACTGCCTCCGAGTCTGTTCCCGCTCTAGCGAACTCACAGGATGGGAGAGCACTGCCCCTGTGGGTTTCCAAGATTGTAATTCTTTACGGGAGTATAAAGCCTTATCCTTTTGCTTTGAAGCAACTGGTGGTTTTGAACTGCAGACCTTTTGGTTAACAGCCCACCGTGTAACCACTGTGCCACCAGGGCTCTGTACAACAGTTTACAATTTTACAAATAGCATTGTCCTTCTGTGGCGGAGCAGGAGATGACGTGGCAAGATTTTGACACACACCCCTGCCCACCCCCTGGGGAACCTAAGCAGGGCCCGGGGCAACCAGAGCCCCCAGATGGGGTGCTTGCCCACTCACCACCCCTCGGTGCTGTGAATGTGCTAGGGTTTGAGAAGGTTGGTGGATATGTGCCCTGGGCTGCTGGAACAACCGACCAGAAACGTGATGGCTTAAAGCCACAGAAATGTGTTCTCAAGTTCAAGGTATCAGCCGGCGCTGCGCTTTCCAAAGGCGGTGTGGTGAGGGGGGTGGAATCCTCCCTTCTCTTGATCTCCTCGTGGCTCCTGGTGCTTCACGGCTGGTGACAGCAAAACTCTGATCTCGGCCTCTGTCACCACATGGCCACCAGCCCTTTCTTCCTCTGCTGTGCCTTCTTCAGGTGCACACCTCCAAAACCCGTGCTGTCAATTATCACCCTGAGGCTTTGCTGTGTTAAGATTAAGAGACCCTATCATATCAGTCACCTCTGAATGGACAAAAAATAGCAGATTGGGCCTAGAAAAGCAACAGATGGGGGAAAGCAAACGCCATGCACTTGAATGAAGGTCACCAAGGAGCCCAGGAACAGGGGCCTCCCCCAAGCCCGGGCTCTGGGTTCCAACTTCTAGCCTCCTAACCTGTGAGAACATCCATTTCTGCTCACGGAGGCCACTCGCTTGTGGGGTTTCTGTGTGCCGCACCGGACCACTCAAACATCCTCTAAGCACACTTGTCCTTGGGCTTAGGGCAACGAGGTTATTCCAGAAGGATCTCATCACCAGGTCCTTGTTTAATTACATTTACAACCCAGCTAAGGTCTCATTGCAAGGTCCTGGGGGTTAGGATGGGGACATGTCTTCTGAGGGGCCACAATCCAGCCCCCTAGGATTGGGAGGGCGTATTCTAGTTGATCCAAAGTACCACACACACATTTTCAAAATAAGTGATCCCCTGAGGGTGATGATAAAGGTTAATATACTCCCATGTAAAAAAATACTTTACACGTGAATATGAAAGAGAGACGTACTGGTAGGAAAAGGGACAAAGAAATGAACTAGCTTTTCAAAGATGTTCAACCAGCAGATAGTCAACCTCATTGGTTTCTTTTCTTTTTTTTCCCCGGCCCATTGTATTGGTCAAGATGTTGAAGAGTTGTCAGGAAGCTGGGCATTGATGGGAGCATGCATTGACAGTCTCCCTGGGGAAATGCCACCGTCACAGTGTATGCCTACTATTTTTTAAAGAAATGGATTCTATTTCTGTTTCTAAGAATTTATCCTTGGGAGACAATCATACAAGTGTGCAAAGGGGTTTGTGCCAGGATATTTGTTAGCTAGAGCACCATTAAAAATAGCAAAAGCTTAGAACCAACCTAAAAACCCATCCATCAGGTTCTTATGACACAGCCATTCCATGGGATGTCATGCAGCCACGGTTCACCTGTATCTGTTACCATAGCCACTGCCTTGATGTGCCGTGGTTATCAAATAGCATCCCCAGTGAGGTCCCAATCGTGTAAGATGCTGTGACTGTAAGATCAGAGAGGGATTTGGGGAGAAGCATGCTGGAGCCTTAACCTCCAGTGTCGATTCTCAGGTGGTGGGATGTGGGACTGTCTTAGTCAGGGTTCTCTATAGAGACACAGAACCCGTGAGATAGGTAAGAAGGTAGAGATGAGTCCTTGGGGGTGTGAATGGTGACTGTGTTTGACGGCTAACCAAAAGGTTCAAGGGCCGGGCCCACCCAGGAGTACCTCGGAAGAAAGGCCTGGTGATCTACTGCTGAAAAGTCAGCCATGGGAAACCTTAGGGACATGCACAGGATTTCCTGTTTGCTTTTAGACAGAGTAGGGGAAAGAGGGAGATTTAAATTAAAATCGACAGGTTGGGCAGTCAGCTGGAGGTCCCATCGGTCTTGTGACCCAGAACCCAGAAGTCAGGTAATAGGAAGAGTAGAAGCATGCTCAACCAGCTGAATCGGTTGATGAGCATTTCCAAGGCGCCTGCTCCCAGGAGACTGCACGGCCCCCGCAGCCCACAGGAGCAGGTCTGCCCTGTCCCGTAGGGGCGCGTGAGTCCGTACGGACTTTGGTGGTGGGTCCGTTTGAGTAGGCGAGAGGACCCGTGAGCTCATAAAGGAGGAGAGGAGAACTAGCTGAGTAAATGACCTGAAGATGGGGAGAGAGACGCTTGCCTTGGCAACAGAGCGCTTAACCATGGTGCCACCTGCGCTCCTGGTGCGGCCCCGGAGCCTCCATAAACGTGCGGGACCCCGCGAAGCCTCTGATGCGAGGGTAGGTCGTGGCAAACGTGACTGGCTTTGTCCTCTCTCCTGGAGACGTCAAAGGAGGTCGTGGCGGGTGCCGTGGTAAAACGCTCCCCTCTGTGTGGGAGACCCAGGTGGCATTCCTGACCAAGGAGCCTCAGGCCCAGCTACCACCCATCATCTCTCGGTGAAGGCCGAGTGGTGGTAACAATGTGGCAGAGGTTTCTGTGAGCTTCCAGACTGGGAGAGATCAGGAAGAAAGGCCTGGCAGTGTAGGGACCCCAACAGTCCGATCCGGAGCGGTGTGGAGTTGCGGTGAGGTGAGGTCCGATCCGGAGCGGTGTGGAGTTGCGGTGAGGTGAGGTCCGATCCGGAGCGGTGTGGAGTTGCGGTGAGGTGAGGCCCACCTGAGGGCACGCCCTGTGTGCAGTTCCCTCTTCCCGCAGTCCCAGGAGAGCCAGGCTGGACACGCATCTGTACTTGAGCCTCGTGGCAAGCTGAGGGCTCTCACTAGAGAATCACCCAAGAGGCGTGCACATTTTACTCTTCAGTTAGTCTCTTCCTGGGGACAGACATTGGCGTCAGGTTGGCAGCTATGTTTTTATGTTGCCTTTGGGCACAGCCCTCCCACCTCCCAACACCCATAACCGGGCATTGGAGTAGCCACCCGGCGTGTTAAGTGGAAGGCATAGGACCAAAGGGGTGTAACGCTGGAGTGCAGCGCTTAAGATGCCTGAGCGAGGACGAGGAGCTTGCTTCCCGCCCTCTTCCTGAAGGCATGCCTGCGTCACCCAGCCTCGGCGTGCCGCTGCTTCGTCGACGCCGCAGCAAGGACAACAGCACACACTGTCCTGCTTGTGCGCTGCCATCCAGTCCAGTCAGTGCCTGACTCACAGTGGCCCCAGCACAGCACGAGTGGATGGTTGGGAAGCTTCGCATTTCCTGGGCCGGCTCTTTGGAAGCAGCTCCCAAGGCCTTTGCTCCTAGAGTACCTTAGTTGAGAAGCCCCCGCGGAAAGCACTTAAGCACTCTAGCCACGCGCAGGCCTCGCTGACGGGGGTGGTGGCTGTGCGTGAGGTGCCCTGGCCGGGCATCAAACCCAGGTCCACTGTGTGAAAGGTGAGACTCCGACCACTGAACCACCACTGTCCCCGGGACTGGGTAGAAAGGCTGAACTGGTCACCATGTGTCAGGGAGGGTCAGGGGGCCTGGTGCCGACGGTAAGGCGGCCCTTTTATTGGTGATCTGAGTGGCCGGAGTCAACGCTAACCCACGGTGTTGCCTTCTGTTGTCTTGCAGCCAGGAGGAAGAGGAGGAGGAGGAGGCCTCCTCCCGGTACTACGTCCCCAGTTACGAGGAGGTGATGAACACAAACTACTCGGAAGAGAGGGAGCTGGGCCAGAACCCCAGAATGAGCATCTCCCTCCCCTCCTACGAGTCCCTGACGGGCCTGGACGAGGCGGCGCCCACGAGCACCAGGGCCGATGTGGAAACCAGCCCCGGGAACCCACCCGACAGACAGAACTCTAGGTTGGCCAAGCGCCTGAAGCCTCTGAAAGTTCGGAGGATTAAATCCGAGAAACTCCACCTCAAAGACTTCCGGATCAACCTCCCGGACAAGAACGCGCCCCCTCCCTCCATCGAGCCCCTGACGCCCCCTCCCCAGTACGAGGAGGCGCAGGATAAGGCCCCGGACGCCCGGCCACCTGACTGAGTGGCTCTCCCCGGCGTGTGGCCTCCGGTCCACTCCCACCTCCAGCACCACAGGTTCCACTCAGGCCATGTCGGCAGAGCCATGGGCCAGGTGCACACGGAGCTCTCTGGGTGGGTGTGGGTGGCGTGGGGGCGGGTTCTGCCTGTGTGAGGGACCCCACGGTTCTGTAGGGCCTTAGGTAGCGGGAGCACTGTTTCCTGGATCCCCTCAGAAGGCCTGTCCTCGCTGTGTCCTCCTCATCCCTCCTCAGCTCAGAATTGTCAACGGGATCGGGACACAGCGGAAGGGAGGGTCACCCGTCAGCAGGTTTTGATCCCCTGGGATCATGTTTCAGAAGAAAGTGAGTCATGCCTTTGCTTTCTTCCCTGGAATCTCTAGCTGGGCCAGGAAGATGACTCAGGTGACTTACAGACAGGATGCAGACCTGGGGCATCTTGTGAATGAAGGGAGACAGGAGGCGCCGTGACTGAGGGGTGAGGCCCGGACGAGATGGTGCCGGCACCTTGGGGCCCGGTGAACTTCACAGGAGGAAGAAGACAGTCGCCCTCACTGGCACACATCAAGCCTCTCCCCCCAGTGGGATGGCAGAGAAGGAAGACCACCCGAGACATTCCAATATGCAGTGCCAACTGAGCTTTTTGTAATAAAAGGTTTTATATGTAGCACATTGGGGTGTTGATTGCCGTAGCAGGCCCTCCAAGATGGACTCGCTTGGGAAGGGATTTCAATACTAATAATTAACAGCTCAAGCCAACAGAAGGTACGCCCCGACTCCTGGGGGGCCCATGCGTTTCAGAGCTGACGTACACTCCCTGTGGTCTTCACATGGTTGTCATTTTACCTGACTCGCTGGATGGATTCAAACCACCAGCCTTTGGGGAGCAGTCGAACACAAGCCATTTGCGACACTCCAGTTCCTATTGTCATCAGGTCGATTCCGACTCCTGGAAGCCTTGGGAGACAGAATATCCTGCCCCGCAGTGTTCCCAGAGCTGTGACGTTAGCAAAGTGCTCTGCCACATCTTGCTCCTAAAGGGAGTCTAGGGGGTTCCAACCACTGACCTTTTGATGAGCAGATGGAGACTGAGCCCACCCAAGAAAACAAAAGTCAAGTCACCGAGTCGATGCTGACGTGACATTGTGACACTGTAGGACAGGGTAGAATCCCCTCTGTGGATTTCTAAGACTCACTCTTCACAGGAGTAGAAAGCTCAATCCTTCTCCCAAGGAATGGCTGGTAGTTTCAAATGATGTCCTTGCGATTCACAGCCCGGCATATAACTCTACCACCAGGGCTCCTTGGACCACCGGGGACTTTAATATGTCACCCAAATTCACTGCCCATCCAGTTCATTCCAACTCAAACCAACCCTGTAAGGCAGGGTGGGTTGCTGAGATGGTGACCCTACACAGGAGTAAAAAGCCTTGTCTTTCTCGCTCAGAGTAGCTAGTGGTTTCAATCTGCTGACCTTGCAAGTAGCAGCCAGCTGCATGACCACTACGCCATGTGCTTAGTGTGTGCCAAGCACTGTGCTAAGAACATCACTTGTTACTGTATTTAAACTACTACAAGCCTGGCCTTACTGCCTTTTCTCAGGTTGGCTCACTGAGGCTTAGTCTGTGAAAGCAGCCACGTCACTGCAAGTCGATGGCAGGTTGGGATTTGAATGGGCCGGCTAGCCCTGACATCTAAGCAAGTCTGTGTACAGAGCTGTTTCTGACTTAAATGAGGACTTCCTAAGACCCAAGACCAGGCCCATGAACCCATGCACCCAAGAGGAAGTTCTAGCTCTCCACTGGACTTAACACCCTCTTCTTAACACACCTGAGAATTGGGTCCCGGGGAGAAGCTCCCCCACAACCAGCCATCTGACCCCTCGAACTGAGGGCTGTAAGAGCATATGGGGTAGGGGAGTGTGTCCCCATGGAAAAGGGACAGTGACTACCTTTGTGGCCCACGACAGTGCTATGGGGGATCCTGATCCATGGACCCCGTACCTGGCAGGGAACGAGTGAGGAGTGTGGGATACTGTAGGTCCCTGTGGGTTGGCATCGACTTGGTGGCACTGGGTTGGAATGCCTCATACCCACAGAAGTGGACCCATGGTTCTAGGGCAGTCAGGATTCAGTGTGTGGGCAGGGCCATGTTCTCTTGGACGACACTGGGGAAGAGCCCTCCTGGTCTCTTGCAGGCATCCCTTGGCTTGTGGCAGCCTCACTCCAGTCTCTCCCCTGCCTTCACACGTGTCTTCCCCTGCGCTGTCTCTGCATCACTGCGCTTTTCACTCGGTCACCAGCCATAGGGGGTGAGGGCCCGTCCTTTTGCAGGATGGATGCATGTTCATGACTTCCATCTGCAAAGATGCAGCTTCCAAAGGCGGCTGCTCTCGGGAACCAGGGGTGAGAGCCAGGGGGGAGGTCAGAAATCAGCCCATCACCATGAGCTCTGAGCTCATTTCTGCAAACATGCTCTGAGAAAACTGTACCAGCTGCCAGGAGCAGTTTGTGAAGCATCGTCCTAGAAATCTGACTTCAGGGGGCGGGAGGCTACAGGACCAAGGGGTTCCCGCCAGTTGATCCATCACACAACCACCACTGGGGTCCCTGGATCAGTCAGTCCATTTGCTTGGTTTTCGCTTCATGCTGTGTGGTCAGTACATTAGGACCACGTGACCTGTACCAGGAACTCGATTCCCAGAAGGGCACAGCTACCTGGACTTTAGAGACACTCTTCCCCATGACCACCTGAGCACCTGAGCAGGACCTCGCATTGTCATGGGTGTATCTGGGGAAGCAGGACCCACGATGAAGTCACTTTGGGAATTCCCAACTGAAGTCTATTGATTCCACACCTTTTTAATCGAGCACCTATGGTCCAAGCGTTCGACTTCACAGGGGTCCTACTCCAGGTGGGGAGATGGGCAGATAATGATCAAACAAATGTCTGAAGTCACATCAGGAAGTGAGAAGCATTGTGAAGAAGGAGGGGGTAAGGGATTACGTATCTGAGTGACCAGGACAATCGCTGGGTGGTGACACTGAAGAAAAAAAAGCAGGGAGTGAGCCACCTGGCTATCTGGATGCAGAAAGTTCCAGAGTGCCTCTCCTATGTTTACACACATGCTGAGTCTCTGTGAGGTGCTGGAGGAAGTGGTATTTCCTGAACCTCTGTGGCCACTGAACCTTCTGTCTTCATAAAGTGTCCTCCGTGGCCAGCCATTCCACTGGATGCCCCTCAAGGCATCCTCAAACATCCCACAGGGGCACAAACAGGCCAGATCAACTAGAGACTTGTCCACAGCCCAGTGGCTCCCTGGCCAGGCACTCTGTCATCTTCCTCACTGAGTGGCATGCAGAGGGCAGACCACTGAAATGACCCTCGCATCGGCAATCCAGAGAACCAAGGCCATGGGTGTATAGTGAGCCAGGCACAGCAGCCTAAGGCCACCTGCCTCTCGGGCCCACTGCGGACCTCCCTGTCTGCAGAACTGGTGCCCACGCCCCAGTAGGGAAGCTTTTTCCTCTGTTGAGAAGGCTGCATTCCTCACGGTAACCTTTGCCACGCTGAGCGCCATCAAGACAAGGGGAGACTTCCTCTAATTCTACACCGGCCCCCCGGGTGGACAATGGGTGGACAGCTTGTGAGAACGTCTCCAGGCTCACCAAGGAGTGCCTTTCACATCCAGTTAATGGGGAGAAGGCTGTTCCCCTGTGTCTCTGATGTCCGGTGTTGGTGCCTCCAGCTGCGTGACCACGAGCTGCAGCCCATCGATCTCAGCTTCTCCGAACACCGATGGAGACCCACAGACAGGGCAGGCAGCTCCGCTATGAGCGCTGCTGTAACAGAACATTCTAACAGAGCGCTGCTGCTACAGGCGGATAGCTTTACCTAACGGAAGTTTATCTTCTCACAGACATTGGGGGAGTCCAAATTCAGGGTGCCGCTGGCTCTAGGGGAAAGCTTTTCCTGGTGGCTAGCTCTGGAGCAACGGCCTTCTCTGTATGAGCTTCTGCTGCTAGGAGGGTGTGGGAGTCTGGGTAGACTAGAGAAACAAATCCACAGAAATTCATATGTGTATAAGAGAGAGTGTTATTTGAAGAGTAAGTGCACATTAAGAAAGCATCCCAACCCAGGGCTGTCCAAGCCCATAAGTCCACCATTAGCCCATATGTCCAACACTGATCTACAAAGTCCTCCTCAATTTCACAAAACACAGGAAATGATGCCGACTGCAGGAGGAAAGCCGAATCAGTGAGCGTATAAGCATCTCAGCACTGACATGGAACTCCATGCAGCTGCACCCAGGGCTGCATCGGAGTAAGCTCCATGCGGCTTCTCAGGGATGTCTTGCAGGCAGTGAGCCTATCCAGCTGAACCAGGGAACTGGCTAAGGCAGCTACACCCTGGTCTGACTATCAGAGAACTAGAAAGGCGAGGCTCACCGAGCCATTTATTTCTCCATCCTTCAGTTAATCCCACATGTGCTTATTGGCCAGGTTGGCATAATAAATCTTAACTATCTTGGAGGGCTTCATGGATCTTGGCATCACTTTCCCCCCATCTCAAATCCTCTCTATTGTTTATTCTCTTTTATATCTCAAAAGAGTTGAACTCAAGACACACTGTGTTAGTCTGGGTAGACTAGAGAAACAAATTCATAGGGACATTCATATGTGTATAGGAAAGAGCTTTATATTCAAGAGCAGTTGAATATTGAGAAAACTTCCCAGCCCAGTCCAGATCAAGTCCATAAGTCCAATATTAGTCCATATGTCCGATACCAATCTATAAAGTCCTCTTCAGACTCATGAAGCACATGCAATGATGCTGAATGTAGACGATCACAGGACAGTTGATGCAAAGTCTTGTGGATCCAGTGGCGTTTTAAGTATCTCAGTGCTGGCAGGGGTCTCCACCTGGATCCTCCAGTTCCCAAGGCACAGGGACTATCAGCATAGTGTCATATGTCTTGTCAGTAGAGTGTCTCTCAGGGAATGAGTCCGGAGAAAGTGTGTCTCCTG